CATCTGGAACAACCCTGACATCCTACAACAGAATAAGATGATAAACTTCCCAGGTTGGAGGTGTGGCAGCCATGTTAAATTGGGCTTCCACTGCTGTGTGGTCAGATGTCCAGTATAAACATGATGTTTCAGCCTTGCAGCCTCAGAGTTTCCAGTCTGCAGGCCTATTTGAACTGTGAAGGCGTTGGGCTGTAATGTCACATATTTATAGTGAGTGACCTGTGACCCTCTTCTACCAACTTTAATGTCTCCGCTTTCAGCAGCCCCATCACCTCCTGCTCCAAGAGATAAACTGGACTTTAACAAAGTTTGCCACAAGACTTTTCACACCCTGCTTGTGATAAAATGGCATTTCAGTGACCTCAGCAGCAGCAGTTGAAGTGACTAACCCAAACGACTGTTTGCATCAGATGTCCCGCTGACCCACCTGGTGTCTGAAGTCTGCATCCACCCATCCTGCGCTGGATTAAAATGATTTATTCAAACCCTTCAGGGTGTTTCTGGTTGGAATGATTAAACAGATTCAATGGTTGTTTTTAAAGACCTGCAAGTTATAATTTAATGAATTTAATGTGGATTTCTTTTGTTCCATATGAATGGTTCAAATAAATCATTAATGTCTCTGATTGCTATTCATGACTTTGAAGAGTGGATGTAAACTTTTGAGCACAACTGTAAGTAAATTTTACCCTTGGGGTGTCAAACAGTTACAAACGGGGGCCAAATTTAAAACTCGGTCTGAGCCATGGGCCGATTTCGGTCAATACCTGACATTTTTTCTTGGTTGCAGGTTCATTAACAAGAGTTCAAGCTCGTTTAACATTCTCTGTTGCTCTTTCCACATTAAAATAAAAGATTGCTGAAAAAAATAATTATTTTGGCTTCAAAGTAAGTTGTCATGAGAGGTCTGCACCCAAAAAGGTATTTATCAGTTTTTAAGCAAAATGATTCAAATATTTTGCATTGAAAGTATCTTTGGGTCCAGATAAGATGTTAACAAGGGCCAGTTTGGCCCGCGGGCCTTGATTTGACTCTGCTTTACTCCTGGACCTGAGCCTCCTCGTGCACTCACCTGAGTGGCATCTTGATTGCTATGTAGCGGTCTATAGCGATGGCCAGCAGGCTGAAGATGGAGTTCTGTGTGAGGACCAGCACAAAGCACGCGATGAACAGGCAGCCGAAGAAGTTGGAGCAGAAACCGGTGCTGATGGCGATGGCGAAGGGAATGGCCAGGACCCCAACGGCAATGTCGGCCACCGCCAGCGACACCACGAAGAAGTTGGTGATGCTCTGCAGGTTGCTGTTGAGGCACACGGCCCAGCAGACCAACACGTTGCCCAGCACGGAGAACAAGGCGATCAACAGCTCCAGGACGATGTAGATGGCGGAGGAGGCGAGCTCTTCTGTCATGGTAACACAACGGGCGAGGTCACTGATGAAGAGGGAGGGAAACCCAACGTCCATAGCTGCAGCCTGAGAGCTGCTGAGCCTCCTCACCTCCTGAAGCACAGCACCAAAGGAAGCTCTTCACATCGACTCCACTCGAGCAGCTGAAAACACGTTTGATTCAGCTTCACTCGGGGCGGTCATCACTCCAGAAGAAAAGCTGCTGCTCGCTCCCTCTCAGCTACTTCCCATCAGTGCTGCTTTCCCATAAATCCTTGAAGCAGTGAGACGATGCCAGCGATGCACATCACCGGAGCGCTCTGCAGCTGGAGACAAAGAGGAGCAGACATGAGGAGGAGGAAGCGCAAGAAAAAGGAAGTGACTTTGAGTATTGGTAATCAGGTACTCTTCAGAAGTGAAGAAATGTTTCTAATTTCTTGCTGCTGTTGCATGTATGGCCACACAAATGACAACATTTGAAGTGTTTCCAAAAGCAGCAGCAGCTCTGATATAAAGAGTTACAAAGTCCATCAGTGTTCAGCTCAGTGGAGCATCTGGATGCTGAAGCTTTTAGAAGCAGCTCCTGTCGACCCAGCAGAGCAGTCAGATCATCCGACACAAGGAGAACAGCAGCGTCACAAGACGAGAGGCTCCAGCTGTGGTGAACGTGTCACTGGAATCACTGGAATCTGGATCAAGCTCGGAAGCAAAATCAATTTTTATGGAAGATTCATCACTCACACCTGAGAACATCACGGTCAACCAGGATGATGCATGTCAACATGTCTGCTACTAAACTAGCATGTTTGGCCTCTCACAGCTCTCTTCAAAAAGAAAGACTTATGAAAAAGGAGCTCTGAAGCTTCCTCAAACTATAAGATCCAAACAACATCTGAATCATAAGATCATCGCGATGAACATGTGCGATAAACGTGTTTGTGAGGTACTAAGGCAAAATCAATACGTTAATACAAATCAAAGCTTTTGCTACTGTGAAGGTCCAAACAAGCAGCTGGATGAAGACAAGCTGCTTTTGCACATTTATGTAAATTAAAACTAAAAACCGTAAAAATTTATATATATATATATATATATATATATATATATATATATATATATATATATATATATATATATACAGAACACAGTAAGACAAGAGTCAGAGCACTGACTACAAGGTGTTCACTCCACAGAAACCGTTGGGTCAAAACATCCTGTAAAATGTTTAATGAAATTAGTTAATCATGTTTTTTTCCACAAGGCGTTTACATGTCGTGAACTTAATTTACTCCTTTAGATCAGTGTGGCGATGCTTCTTCTGAAAGTTATTTAAAATAAAGAAAAATATTTTTGTTTTAACTGGGTTCTAAAGTCATTAAAGAAAAAACTCTGCTCCTAAATACCGTATTTTCCGGCGTATAAGTCGCAGTCTTTTCAATAAACTTCAGTCCTGCAACTTATAAGCCGAAGTGACTTTTTTTCCATATTCATATTGTAATTCTTGACTGATGCTTTAAAATCTAAGAACTGCAAAGGCGAGTCCTCCCGTGCACGCTCGCTTCACTCAGCTGGTGCAGGCGGAGAAACACTGGAGAGCTAGTGGCTCTGGCTGCAATGAATGGATGGATGGATGATGGATGGATGGATGGATGGATGGATGGATGGATGGATGGATGGGTGGATGGATGGATGGATGGATGGATGGGTAGATGGATGGGTGGATGGATGGATAGATGGATGGATGGGTGGATGGATGGATGGATGGATGGATGGGTGGATGGATGGGTGGATGGATGGGTGGATGGATGGATGGATGGATGGATGGGTGGATGGATGGATGGATGGGTGGTTGGATTGGTGGATGGATGGATGGATGGATGGGTGGATGGATGGATGGGTGGTTGGATTGGTGGATGGATGGATGGATGGATGGATGGATGGATGGATGGGTGGATGGATGGATGGATGGATGGATGGATGATGGATGGGTGGTTGGATTGGTGGATGGATGGATGGATGGGTGGATGGATGGCGCTGCCCAGGCAAAATGAAGTTGTTTTGACCATTAAAGTGTATTTATTAAGGAAAGGTTCAACTGAGACACACCTTTGCTATAATTTCGAGCAAACAATAATCGTTTTTAAGCGTTAATCTTGTTAAATTTCTAAGAACTTCAACAGCGAGTCCTCCCGTGCACGCTCGCTTCACCCAGCTGGTGAAGGTGGAGGAACGCTGGAAAGCTAGTGGCTCCAGCTGGAATGGATGGATGGATGGAGCCACGCCGCCCAGGTGAAATGAAGCTGTTTGGACCATTAAATAAAGGCATAATAAACGTGACAGGTCAGCGGTGATGCAGAATAAATGTGACAAACACATGGAAGCAACTTATGTTATTTTCTTCTTCGTGATGCTTTTTTTGACTGATGCAACTTATACGCCGAAAAATACAGTATGTAATAAAATAATCTGGTCTTTGTTGGGTGATAAAATAACTCAAGTCTAACCTCAAGCTTATAAAAACACACAACAAAATAAATCATGTTATTTAGAAAACACAAATTAAGCCAAAATGGAGAATTGTGTGAAGTGAAAACCACAGGATTTTAATTTTTCCACACATTTCCACAAGACTTCAGAGGTTCAGCATCAGCCAGGTGCTGCTGATCAGTTGTATTGATCAACTGATCAGCATCAGCGGGATCTAAAAAAACAGTAGTTTCAACAGTTTGCTGCTCTGGAGCATACAGGTGTGTATTAACACAATGCCAAGAAGGAAAGACATCAGCAATGACCATAAAAAAGCACCTGTTGCATCCAGTTAATGTGAGAAAGGTCAAAGGTCATTCCTGAACAATAAAGAGTCCATGGTTCCACAGAACAATATTTAACAACTGGAAAAAATGAAGACAGATGCCAATTCACCCAAAGGTCAGACCATACAATGCTCAGAGAAACTACAAAAACTCCTCCACCTGAAACTAAACAGGCCTCAGTTAGCAGGTAAAGGTCAAAGGTCATGACATGACTAGGTATAGTTTATTTAGAGGAACTCCAGGAGAAAACATTCTTCTACAAAAAGAACATGGCAGCACAACTCATCCTAACCACAACCTCTGGACAGATGAGACCAAAGTGGACATGTTTACCCATAATGCACCACACCTTGGTTAAAGGAAGCCAAACAGCACAGTGGTGGCGATGTGATGGTCTGGGCTTATTTTGTAGACATTGAGTCCATCATGAACTTCTCTGTAGACCAAAGGATTCTAGAGTCAAATGTGAGGCCATTTGTCTGAAGACTGGACCAAACCGGGTCCAGATAAACAGAACAATGGTCCAAACGCAGCAGCTAATCTACAACAGAACCACTGAGAGACAGAATCAACGTCCAGACCTCAACCTGACTAAAATGCTGTGGTGGGACCTCAGGAGAAATGTCTAGGTGGTCTAGGAACCAAAACTGGTTCATAGAAATGGACTCCTGAGGGTTCTTGGTGCTGAAGGAGGTTCTACGAGCTGCTTGGACCGACTTGGTGGATGGCTTTCAGGAAGTTGACTTAAATGGTGGAGTCACCTGCGTGCTGATGTTCAACGCAGATTAAAGGGCTTTGTTTACATCGAGTGAAGACCTGCAGTTCCAAACTGCAACATATGTGTAAAACAAACCACTTGGTGCGAGTCTGAACATTTTTATGTGATTTCACACTCTGACATGAGTGCGTTTAAACTTTTCACTGTGAAAGTTGTCAAACTCTGACCGATGGTATCCATCCTCACGGACAGACTGGGCTGAATAAACTTGACTATACTGACCCTCCTGCTTACATGTGGAGGTAGAGCTCATTGTTGATGGTCTCTGATGTAATTTTAATAAATTAACATTATATTCCTGGCTGTGTACGACATCCAGCGGGTCCAACAAACACAGAGCTGCTGTTCTTGTGAAGCTGAACTGCCTTGGAAGAGAAGCTTCTTGACGTTCGATGGAGTTTTCAGAGATAACAGCTGCGCAGGAACATAAAGGTCTTTGCTCTCCCAGTCAGCCTTTTCCCTCCGGGTCGGATGGAACGGGCTTTTGACACTAAAGACTCCTCATTTCTTTTACAGCTCATGTTGATAGCTTTATTTTTTTATATACTTTTGGACTTAATAAAATTTCTTCCGCTCTAGAGGCACAAGAGGTTTGGTGCATGTGCTGCCGTTGTGGACGCAGTGTGAGTTTCAGCAAAATACAGGAGGGGGTTCTCCCATGACAGCAATGTTTCTGTCCTAAAATAAAATAACGAGGCACAGCAGAGTAACTCCAGGGATTTACAACGAGACGAGGGACAGCAGGGTCCCACCTGTAAGAACTGAATGTAGCTCAAAATGTCATCGTCATTTAAAACAATTTTTTTAAATTAAAATACACCAGTGATATGTCTTGTAGAGATAAAAAATTAGACAAAAACTTAAACAAGGTTAAGAAAATCCAAACGTAGTTAATGTTTAACTAGAAATAAACCACATTCTGCTTCGTGAAACTACAAACCACATCAGCCACAAAAATGATGCTCTGCAGTAAAAAAACCAGCTTTAACTAGAAAAACTGCATTTCCTGTTAACAGCAGCTCAGAGCTGAATGATTTTAGCTGAAAGCTGCTGAAGAAGCTGAAACCAGGCTGAAAAGGTTTCATCTCTCAACTGTTAATGCTAGATGAATTAGCTGAAAGCAGAGAAATAAACAGAAAGCAGCAGAAAAACAGGAAATGAGTAGAAAAGGCTGAATAGAGCAGAAAATAGTCTGAAATAGGCAGAGAGGCTGAATAGATTGCACAAAATCTGAAATTAGCTAGGTCTATCACGATAACAAATTTTGTTGGGCAATTAATCGTCTCAAACATTATTGCGATATACGATAATATTGCTTGAAATTTGACAATAATTAGTAATTACTGTCAAATTTAAGAAGAAATATTTGTTAATTTGTTTTGCATGTAGTACCTGTTGTCGACCACCGGATGGCAGTGCAAGACTGAACTGAAGGATGGATAGTGAGGGAGCGAGCAGTGTGTCTCTTTAAGGAAAATGGGAGGGAG